GTACCACTCAAGAAGAGTGACTTTACTTCTTGTTGTCGGTATACATTGGCAATGTTCAATAACTGCACAATGTCGAATTGGTTGAAGCGATCGCTTTGCCGAGACTGACCGTCATTAAAAAAAATGGCTACTCGGAAGTTTGGCAGCACCACTTAAGACGAGTGACTTTACTTCTTGTTATCGGTATACTTTGGCAATGTTCAATAACTGCACAATGTCGAATCGATTGAAACGATCGCTTTGCCAAGACTGTCCGTCATTGCAAAAAAAATGTGGCTTTACTTCGTCTTGTCGGTATACTTTGGCAATGTTCAATAACTGCACAATGTCGAATCGACTGAAGCGATCGCATTGCCGAGATTGTCCATTGAAAAAAATCTGGCTTTTCGGAAGTTTGGCAGCTCCACTTAAGAACAGTGACTATACTTCTTGTTGTCTGAATACTTTGGCAAGGTTCAATAACTGCACAATGTCGAATCGATTGCTTTGCCGAGACTGTCCGTCATTGAAAAAATGTCTGGCTTTTCGGAAGATTGGCAGCACCACTTACGAAGAGTGACTTTACTTCATCTTGTTGGTATACTTTGGCAATGTTCAGTAACTGCACAATGTCGAATCGATTGAAGCGATCGCTTTGCCGAGACTGTCTGTCGCCAGCACCACTTAAGAAGAGTGCCTTTACTTCTTGTTGTCGGTATACATTGGCAATGTTCAATAACTGCACAATGTCGAATCGATTGAAACGATCGCTTTGTCGAGACTGGTCGTCATTAAAAAAATTCTGGCTCTTCGGAAGTTTGCCAGCACCACTTAAGAAGAGTGACTTTACTTCTAGTTGTCGGTATACTTTGGCAATGTTCAATAACTGCACAATGTCGAATCGATTGAAACGATCGCTTTGTCGAGACTGGTCGTCATTAAAAAAAATCAGCTTTTTGGAAGTTTGGCAGCACCACTTAAGAAGAGTGACCTTACTTCTTGTTGTGGGTATACTTTGGCAATGTTCAATAGCTGCACAATGTCGAATTGGTTGAAGCGATCGCTTTGCCGAGACTGACCGTCATTAAAAAAATGGCTTCTCGGGAGTTTGGCAGCACCACTTAAGACGAGTGACTTTACTTCTTGTTGTCGGTATACTTTGGTTATGTTCAATAACTGCACAATGTCGAATCGATTGCAACGATCGCTTTGCCAAGACTGTCCGTCATTGGAAAAAATCTGGCTCTTCGGAAGTTTGCCAGCACCACTTAAGACGAGTGACTTTACTTCTTGTTGTCGGTATACTTTGACAATGTTCAATAACTGCACAATGTCGAATCGATTGAAACGATCGCTTTACCAAGACTGTCCGTCATTGCAAAAAAAATGTGGCTTTACTTCGTCTTGTCGGTATACGCGATCGCATTGCCGAGACTGTCCATTGAAAAAAATCTGGCTTTTCGGAAGTTTGGCAGCACCACTTAAGAACAGTGACTATACTTCTTGTTGTCTGAATACTTTGGCAAGGTTCAATAACTGCACAATGTCGAATCGATTGCTTTGCCGAGACTGTCCGTCATTGAAAAAATGTCTGGCTTTTCGGAAGATTGGCAGCACCACTTACGAAGAGTGACTTTACTTCATCTTGTTGGTATACTTTGGCAATGTTCAGTAACTGCACAATGTCGAATCGATTGAAGCGATCGCTTTGCCGAGACTGTCTGTCGCCAGCACCACTTAAGAAGAGTGCCTTTACTTCTTGTTGTCGGTATACATTGGCAATGTTCAATAACTGCGCAATGTCGAATCGATTGCAACGATCGCTTTGCCAAGACTGTCCGTCATTGGAAAAATTCTGGCTCTTCGGAAGTTTGCCAGCACCACTTAAGAAGAGTGACTTTACTTCTAGTTGTCGGTATACTTTGGCAATGTTCAATAACTGCACAATGTCGAATCGATTGAAACGATCGCTTTGTCGAGACTGGTCGTCATTAAAAAAATTCAGCTTTTTGGAAGTTTGGCAGCACCACTTAAGAAGAGTGACCTTACTTCTTGTTGTGGGTATACTTTGGCAATGTTCAATAGCTGCACAATGTCGAATTGGTTGAAGCGATCGCTTTGCCGAGACTGTCCGTCATTAAAAAAAATGGCTTCTCGGAAGTTTGGCAGCACCACTTAAGACGAGTGACTTTACTTCTTGTTGTCGGTATACTTTGGTTATGTTCAATAACTGCACAATGTCGAATCGATTGCAACGATCGCTTTGCCAAGACTGTCCGTCATTGGAAAAAAAAATGTGGCTTTACTTCGTCTTGTCGGTATACTTTGACAATGTTCAATAACTGCACAATGTTGAATCGACTGAAGCGATCGCATTGCCGAGACTGTCCATTGAAAAAAATCTGGCTTTTCGGAAGTTTGGCAGCACCACTTAAGAACAGTGACTATACTTCTTGTTGTCTGAATACTTTGGCAAGGTTCAATAACTGCACAATGTCGAATCGATTGCTTTGCCGAGACTGTCCGTCATTGAAAAAACGTCTGGCTTTTCGGAAGATTGGCAGCACCACTTACGAAGAGTGACTTTACTTCATCTTGTTGGTATACTTTGGTAATGTTCAGTAACTGCACAATGTCGAATCGATTGAAGCGATCGCTTTGCCGAGACTGTCTGTCGCCAGCACCACTTAAGAAGAGTGCCTTTACTTCTTGTGGTCGGTATACTTTGGCGATGTCAATGTAGGTCTGACACAGTTACTAAACATAAACAAGAAAAAACATACGTCCTATCTGGCGGACTTGGTCCCAGACATATGAATAGTTATCAAAATTAATGTGCTTGAATCGAGTCTATTTTTTGCATTATGCCAGTTGTACTTCGCGGAGTACGTGACACGATAAACTTTGGTTGTTTGTGTATGAGAGAAAGGCAAGCTCAGCACTTGGCACTAAGGATTCATAAAGCTTGAGATTTTCATAAACTGCTGGGCTTAACAATAAAATGGCTTGCAACGTTAATACTTAATTTGATTTGGTATTTGATATTTTTATTGTTCTACTTGACTTGAGGTCAAGCATTTTCCACCATAACGAGAAAATAGTAATAGTGTTGACCTTGACTTTTAGTTCTGCAACTGATGTATGAGCAATTTTTTTCTATCGCGATGTATATTATGTTTCTATCCAGTTTCGGTACCATATCGTTCTAGAACTCTCTAGTAAGACTGAAGTTCCACAGTATCAGGATGTTAAATAAATGCCAAATGAACAGATATTTCGGCTTGAAGTAGTAGTCAAATGAGCAAAATATTATTGTTCAGGATGCTAGGGGACATAGTTAGTTATCAAATAAAACTCAGTCAGTTATCGGGCACGGAAATATACTATACAGGGTGTCCAAGATAAGGATCCTAGGCGTGGGGATCTCGATACCTGCGGGAGATACAGCTTAGGTTAAATTAGGAAAAAGTTACGTTCTTTGAGGCGTATTTACATGCCGTTGAGAAAAATTTCATGGCTTGCTGAGCTATTTGGGAAAAACTGAAATTTGGTCAAATCGTTTTTCTGACCTTATTTAAAAGATATATCAAAAAACTAATGGTAATTTTTTGGCACTTTTTAGCGACTACATGATGGTGTTTTTGAATTCTGTGCCCGACTTTCCGTTTTTGAGAAACCATCAACTTTATTTTTTTATACGGTCCGAAAAAAGTACATCCCGTACCTATCTGATAGCATCTTTTTCGACGAATTCAACGAAGTATAACATGTTAAGGCGGGTACGCGTATGAGCACGAACGCGAATGAGGCAACCCGAGGACGCATGTGCATACGTATGTATACGTCTAAATGAGGCGTACGAATTTGTATGCATTCGGGCTCGACCCGATCCGTTTCTTCGCGGTACGTCAAAGTGGGGCACATGCAGCCTGGACGGAAATAAACAATTAATGTCGAGGAGGTCTACTCTGTAGTAACTAGTAGTGCACGAAAAAAAAAAAAATTATTATCAAAGATTTTATTGCTTCTTTTTAATAATAATGGAATGATCTCAGAATTTAGTGTTACGGCTCATTGAAGAATATCAAAAGAGGGAGATATTATGGCGGCCAAACGATCTTTTAACAAAGCTGTGCTATTTTCATTCAATTGTCTTCTGTTACGATATAATTTTCACGACCACCGTTTTGGTTTTTACTTTTTCTTTTTCAATATACTGACTAAAATTATAAAATACGCAACGCGTTCATCATGAGAATCTGAATTGGCCATATTTTAAGAGCTACGGAAATTCAAGAATGCTCGCCGCATCCGATGGATCGATGCCGAACAACGCCTCGTGCGTGTACTGTTCAGGAACCCGAACTTCCCGTAACCTAGACAAATGATTCGTCCTCGGGTACCCGCCTTTACATTTATTTTCTTAGTTATAAAGAAAAATGTGTTTGTTATTTCTATTTAAGTAAGATTATATGATAACATGAGTGTGGTGATTAAATATACCATTATTAGTGACCATACTCTCGTCAGAACATACTATTTTTGAAGGGAAATTAAAATATCCTTCACACGTTCGTGTATACCACTGACAAAAATGCTGGCCCCGTTCGCTATACCCAGGTCTAAGTCTTTGGAAAATCCTGAATTTATAAGAGTATCTATTTTTACGCAAAATAAATTGGTCTGTGGATTTGGCTACTCCTACATTTTTCTCAATTTGCCTAGTTGATATCTCGGAGTTCTCAGCAACTGCTTGTGAAACATTATTCCATAAATATTCCCTTTTTCAAGTCGTAACGGGCTTTTTGAATGAACCATATTCATTAAAATTTCGAGCCAACTCTAAGAAAATGTACTTACTTGGCTGCCTTATTTTGGGAAATTTCTGAAGATACATTTCTGCAGTATTATTAGCATTTTTGTAGCACAAACTGTAGCACGTCAGCATGTCTTTTCTTGTCTTCTTCATCGGTAAAATGACCGCATCTTTGATGATAATAAAGCAATATTAACAATATACTCTTACAATAATAACAATACTCGGTGACAGGTATTTACGTCGTCAAGCATTTGTTTGGAACGCCTCCTTAAAAAAATCTGAAAAAACGCATTTTTCTTTATAACCTAGAAAATAAATGTAACATATGATACATCGCTGAATTCATAAAAAAAATTGATACAGGGTGTAGTTTATTTTCGGACCATATAAAATAAAAAGTTTATGATGGTTTCTCAAGACACCATCATGTACTGCCTAAAAAGTACCAATGCTTGTTCATTAGTTTTTTGATACTTCTTAAAAAAAGTCAAAAAAGGAAAAATGATTTGTCCAAATTTTAGTTTCTCCCGAATATCTCAGTAAGCCATGCAATTTTTACAAGTTTCTCGCGGCATGTAAATACACCGCAAAGAACGCAACTCTTTCTTAATTTAACCTAAGCTGTATCTCCCACATCTATTGAGATTCCCGTTGGCCATGGTATATTTCCGTACCCGATAATTGACAGTTTCATATGATAAATAACTATGTCTTAGCATCCAGAACAATACAGTTTTGCACATTTGACTTTCCGAACTGCGATTTGTTAATTTGTCATTTATTTAACATCCCGATACTGTCGAACTTCGGTTTTACAAGAGTTCTACAACCATAATATGGCACCGCAACTGTATAGATCATATACATCGCGATAGAAAAAAAAACTGCTCATCCGTTAGTTGCACAACTAAAGTCAAGGTAACCATATTACTATTTTTCTCGTTATGGTAGGCCATGTAACAACTGAACACATGGTTCGCCAAGGTGATCTTTGCTAAACTGAGATTCGATGTACATGGCTTTTCTTTCATGTCCCCTATTTTTTTCACTGCCTATGCCATAACTTGCGCGGAAGTAATGTAATCGCGACTTGACTGTTTATTATGATCCTTAAATGTACTACCATTTGGTCAAACCTTTAATTTGTGTTACTCCGTCCATGATGGTTCTCCGAATATTTAGTCAAGTAGATTGACTCAGTACGTATGACGCATTGATATACGAGGGCGGTTCAGATATGATGGAGACAAATGTTGCATGTATGTCTTAAAGGTCGTGGCTTGAGTATGCGGTAGCTGGGTCCCTTACGAACGTGTGGCACAGCTTTCGTCGGGAGCGCATGTTTCACGCGCGTGCTAACGGCCATGAGTGAAGGTCAAGTGCCGACTGCAGTTGCGCAACGTATTGTCGCTCGTTTTTTAGTGTGGGAAGGCGTTAAAAACACGGAAATTTTCCTGCGCTTGCGGAATCAGTTCGGTAGTGAGTGCCTGAGTAGGGCTGCTGTGTTTAAATGGGCCAAAGCATTCAAGGTTGGCCGCGAAACTGTCGAGAATGAGCCGCATGATCGTCGACCGCCAACCAGCATCACACCAGACAACATTCACCGTACGTCGACGTCCTAGGCACCCAACGTTCCATCAATGCTGCATACTACTCTATCCTCCTGAAATCAGACGTGAAACCCGCTTATCGCTCAAAACGGATCAGCATTGCAGCAAGAAGTGTGATTTTTTTCCAGGATAACGCGCGCCCTCATATTGTGCGTCTCACGCTCGATACAATATCAAAATTGGGGTGGGAGGTACTGGAACACCTCCCATACAGTCCGGATTTATCACCTTGTGACTACCACATGTTTGGACCACTGAAAGAAGCCCTCGGAGGTCAAAGTTTAGCAACACCGACGACGAGGAAAAAGAGTTCGTGCGCACATGGCTGTCCGAGTTGCCCAAGGAATTCTTCGATACCGACATCAAAAAGCTTCCGGAAAGGTGGACAAAATGCGTAACTAGTGAGGGAAAGTATCTAGAAAAACTTCAACTTTTTATAAATTTTTTCGATAGTAAATAAACGTGTCAGACCATTTATCTCGATCATATTTGAACCACCCTCGTACAAGAGACAGACGGACTTGTGATGCTATGCGCCTGTTAGACACAATAAGTCACACATACAGGCTGGTGTCCAGTGGGAAAGTTCACTTTTTGATTTATGAAAAAAAAATACAAACTTGATGAAAAAAAAATATTTATTACTATCAAAATATTCGTAAATTCGGCGGGTTTTATTTCTTAAATATCAGTCCATCCAAATGTTTGCCATCCCTTCGGACACACTCTTCTAATCGGGCGCGCAAATTCTGAAACACTCTCTTGCAGAGTTCCAGAGTGGTGTTGTTTATTTCTCATCGAATGTTGTCTTCAAGCTCCTCCAGTGTTCGTAGATTATTGGAATAAACTTTTGACTTTAGATAACCCCACAAAGAATAATTGCATGGTGTTAGCTCGGAACTTTTTGAGGAAACAGTTCTTTCACCGTGTCCATCGATTCTCTGGAAGTATGGGCAGTGGCCCCAAACCACGTGTTTCTGTTAAATCGACGTTCTGTTCTTACAATAGGAGCAAAAAGTGTATGTCCTTGTATTGCTCGGAATTGACTGTCAATGCATGACCGTTTTCATCATCAAATAGATACGGCCCAATAATACCGCTAGAGGATATGCTGCATCAAACTGTCACCTCTGCAATTTTGCTTGTTCACATTAACCGTCAATGTGAAAATGGGCCACGTCACTGAAAACAACGCTCTCGAGTCTGCGGTGCGTAGGAAAAAGATTCAACATCCGTTCAGCACAAGATTTCCGTAATACGTAATCACTTTCCTTTAAAGGAAGGACTGATTGGATTTTATAAGGATGAAAACCCATTTTTTCTTCTTTAAGCCATGCAGTGTTGACCCCAAAGCAGCGGAAAGCTTCCGTACAGAACGCCGAGGATTTGCAATGACCGAATTACTTACTCGACCCACATTTACTTCGGTTGATTACAGTAGGTGTGGGGCCAGGAATAGGTTGACTAAGAGTGGAACCTGTTTTTAGAACCTCTTGATCCACTTTTTCAATAGGTTCTTGCTTGGGGCATCTCTTGGTCGGCGAATGTTGTATCATGCAAAATTTTTCGTAGGGCAGCTGCGTATAAATCACCAGTTTTAAAGTAAGCCTCGATAGCAAAAGCACATTGCGCTCCGGTCCAACGTTCCATTGTGACTATTTAACACGCACGCCGAACACGTCGATCAAACGTCTCCCCACTTCCTCGCGTATACGGTTGCCGTGTAATTAAATTTTTAAATGTCAACTTTCCTACTGGAAACCCTGTATTTTACCTACATCTGCCATGGAAACAGAAATATGAGAGATTTGCTTTATATAGTTCGACATGCAGATGTCGAAAATTCATCGAACCTAAGCGAACCTACATAATTACGATTCGATTTCGCCTTCACAAACGATTTGACCGGTCTCTTTTCTTTGAAACCTCTAACGGAGGCTTAGGAATTATAGCGTAAATACCTACTTGGCGCCATTTCTTTAATTAGTCAAGCTAGCAATTTGAAGTTCTAAAAGATGAAATGACGAATGAATATTTTGGACGTAAAAGCGATATGTGAACATTTCAAGATAGTAAGTTAGTTCATTAGTATGCATGTGTGGGACAAATCCTGAAACTGCATTTTGAACCGATTAACCTTAACCAATCGAGCTGAAATGTTGTATATATCTGTCTGGTTCGTGTGGCAGTACATATTGAATTAACTGCCGCCATTTTGTATCTAATATGGCCTATGTTAAATAATGGCGATTTATCCTTTCCTTAATATGCAAACTGACGTCATTCTAAATCCAATATGACGGAAGCAGCAATTTGGCGATTTATAATTTCCATAGTCACCCCTATAATATATGGGCATCAGATGAAAGCGCTTGAGAGAAACACAATAAGCAAAATGTCATTTCAAATAAAATATGACAACCGCCGCAAGATGGCGTTTATAATTTCTATAGTTACCCAAATGAGGGTTATCGACTGAAAAGGATTGATAAAAGAAACAGAATAACCAAAGAGTCGTCATTATAATCCAATATGGCGCACGTTCAATATGACAATTCAGAATGCAATATCATTATGACATGGAGATGATCTGATGATGAAACCAGAAAGTGGCCATGTGAACCTATGGAATAGAGCCTCGTTCTTATTTATAATATCCGTTGATATTTGGCATTATGATTTTCAATTTATCAGAAAATTAACTCACTTTTTAATGTAAGAATTCACTATTTTTCAGTATTTTTTCACTTGAATTCATGCTTTGGGCCACCAGCACCCCTACGATTCCATCTACAATAACTCTTAACTTTCAGAAACTACAAGTCTGCCATTTTAGAATTCAATGATTTTATATTCTAGGTCCATATCACATTCCCCTCATTTAATTTGAAGGAACGCGGCACAAATCCGTGATGTTGAAATTTTCAACTGTCATTTATACAATAAAATTCAGTTCGCTAAAAACAATTAGATTTAGATAGATAATTCGAAAAGCACTGTATATTCTGACAAGGAGTTGTGCGTTTTTTGTGCACGAAAAATAATGGGTGATTTTTTTGCTAGTATCTTTTTGGCAACACTGTTTTTGACAGATGACGCGTGAATCGTGTCTTGTGTCATTGTCAAACTTGTTCAGTTTGGTCTATAATTTAACCATGAATCGACTTACGAACGAACAACGCTTGCAAATTATTGAATTTTACTATCAAAATTCATGATCGGTTAAGAGAGTGCATCGAGCACTGCTTCCAATTTATGGGCAATTTGGTTGGCCTACTGAGGGAGCTATTCGGAAGCTTGTGACTAAATTTCGAACCCACTTTACATTATTGGACATTAAACCACCAACACGCAGACGTAGAGTGAGGACTGAAGAAAATATTGCTGCTGTATCCGCCAGTGTTAGTGATGACCGTGAAATGTCGATTCGCCGCCGTTCGCAGCAATTGGGCCTCTGTTACTCCACTACGTGGAAAATTTTGCGACGGGATTTGGGTGTAAAACCTTATAAGATACAGCTGGTGCAAAAATTGAAGCCACACGACCTCCCACAACGTTTCCAATTTGGTGAATGGGCGCTGGCAAAGTTGGAGGAAGTTCCACATTTTTATCGAAAAATTGTGTTCAGCGACGAAGCTCATTTCTGGTTGAATGGGTACGTTAACAAGCAAAATTGTCGCATCTGGAGTGAAGACCAGCCAGAAGCATTGCAAGACCTACTAATGCATCCCGAAAAAATCACTGTTTGGTGTGGATTATGGGGCCGGTGGTATCATCGGGCCGTACTTCTTCAAAGACGACAATGGCCGGAACGTAACTGTGGATGGCGAGCGCTACCGTGCGATGATAACAAACTTTTTTTGCCCAAAATGGCAGAGCTGGACTTGGCTGACATGTGGTTTCAACAAGACGGTGCCACATGCCACACGGCACACGAAACAAGGGCCCTATTGAGGGGCGAGTGCGGTGAACATTTTATCTCACGTTTGGGGCCCGTCAACTGGCCGCCTAGATCGTGTGATTTAACGCCGTTGGACTATTTCTTGTGGGGCCATGTTAAGGCTAATGTCTACAGGGATAAACCAGCAACGATTGACGCACTGGAAGCCAATATTGAAGCATTTATTCGTGAGATACCGGCCGATATGTTGGAGAGAATGTGCCAAAATTGGACCTTGCGCATGGGCCATCTAAAGCGGAGCCGCGGCCAACATTTACATGAAATAATCTTTAAACATTAAATTATATCGACCGTTCTATCGACTCAAATAAAGATTTAATCGTTTTTTCAAATGTTTTGTGTTTTTTTTGAAAATCAAATCCTATACCTCTTAAAAATCACCCGTGATAAGCACTAGGTAGGAATGGGGCTTCTGCCTTCACGGATTGCTTAAATGTAAAATTACTTGGCAAAAAGACTCACTTATTGACTTAGGTGTAGTTGCTGGAGAATTATCCACTAACGCTAACTGCAAATGTTTGTGTGCCGATTCATATTCTTGGGTAACCTTGAACATCAACCCAAGACGTAAGTTGACTTCATTGGCCCTTTGGAAACTCGGAGATACATAGAGAAGTTGCTGAAATGCTTTGACAGCCCTGAAACAAAAGAAATAAAATCTTCAATTGAATCGAATCATTTGAAAAACTTCATAAATCACGCAATTTTAATTTTTAGGTCACACTAAAAACTGCGTCAGTGACATATAAACCAGTTTTATGATTGGGCCATTATTCGCCAGATCTGACCCCCTGTAATTTTAGACTATTTCGAAAATAAAAAGGTATCTACGAGAAAATAAAGTTTCAGATAAGCGACAAGTGATATCTGCGACCGTTTTGCCGGGATATATCAAAAATATATTTTGTAGAGGCACATGCTTAAAAAATGTGTTTTAGCTATCAAATGCATCCTTAACAAAGCACACAAATGACTAAAGGAGCTAAATAAGTTGGTATTTATCTAATCGGGGTTCCAAACGTCTTTGATGTAAGGTCATTAATATATTGGACTAAATCTAGATCCAAGTCATAAAACCATTTGATAGAGTCAGTTTAAAAGAAGAAAATGGAAGTTTTTTTTTTATACTCCAACTACCCTGAAGGCCTAAGGCCTAAACACCCATTGGGTACCGTGGGGCTATAGGGGGATACAGGGGAAAGGGGGACGCCACACGGACTCTGGCGAGGGAACACGTGTGCATGCAACATGCACACATTCTGGCTCCGCCTACGAGATCCGCCGGGTGGTACCTCCACGTTCGACAGTCAGAGACCAGCTACCACCTACGGACAATCACAACATCCATAGCCAAGAGAAAAATTTCTCCTGGGACGGGACTCGAACCCGCACAGCGCACGGCGACTGATCAGGAGACCGAAGAGTCTACTACTGCGGCCACCGCTGCTGCCTGAGTTGTGTAAGTTTCTTATGCAAAGAGGGTTTACAATATTTTAACATTCAACAGAATGAGATCAAAGGGCGCTGAATATCATACTTTGATGACTCCTAAGTATCTGATGACATTAAAAATATATTTTCCATTTTTCTGTAATGGAAAATGTGTTCAAGAAAAATGTATTTCAGCTATCAAAGGCCACTAAACACACGAATAATTGAAGAAGCTAAAGATTAAGTTGGTATTTATCTAATAAGGGTACCAAACGTAATTTGATGTAAGGTCGCCAATATATTGGAGTAAATCTAGATCCCAGTCATCAAAATCATTCGATGGCAGTCAGTTTAAAAGAAGAAAATGGACGTTGTGTAAGTTTTTTTATGCAAACAGGGTTTATAATATTTTAATATTCAACATGATGAGAGATCTACGAGCACTGAATATCATACTCTGATGACTCCTAAGTATCTGATGACATAAAAAATACTGTTTCCATTTCTCTATAGTGGAAAATGTGTTCAAGTAAAATGTGTTTCAGCTATCAAAGGCCACCTTAACAAATCACACAAATAACTGAAGAAGATAAATAGTAAGTTCGTACTTGTCTAAGCAGGGTACCAAACGTATTTGATGTAAGGTCGCTAATATATTGGAGTGAATCTAGACCCAAGTCATAAAAATCATTCGATAGCAGTTAATTTAAAAGAAGACATTGTAAGATGTGTAAGTTTTTTTATACAAACAGGGTTTATAATATTTTAATATTCAACATGATGAAAGATCAAAGTGCGCTGAATATCATACTCTGATGACTCCTAAGCATCTGATGACATAAAAAATACTTTTTCCATTTCTCTATAGTGGAAAATGTGTTCAAGTAAAATGTGTTTCAGCTATCAAAGGCCACCTTAACAAATCACACAAATAACTGAAGAAGATAAATAGTAAGTTCGTACTTGTCTAAGCAGGGTACCAAACGTATTTGATGTAAGGTCGCTAATATATTGGAGTGAATCTAGATCCAAGTCATAAAAATCATTCTATAGCAGTCAGTTTAAAAGAAGAAAATGGACGTTGTGTAAGTTTTTTTATGCAAACAGGGTTTATAATATTTTAATATTCAACATGATGAGAGATCTACGAGCACTGAATATCATACTCTGATGACTCCTAAGTATCTGATGACATAAAAAATACTGTTTCCATTTCTCTATAGTGGAAAATGTGTTCAAGTAAAATGTGTTTCAGCTATCAAAGGCCACCTTAACAAATCACACAAATAACTGAAGAAGATAAATAGTAAGTTCGTACTTGTCTAAGCAGGGTACCAAACGTATTTGATGTAAGGTCGCTAATATATTGGAGTGAATCTAGACCCAAGTCATAAAAATCATTCGATAGCAGTTAATTTAAAAGAAGACATTGTAAGATGTGTAAGTTTTTTTATACAAACAGGGTTTATAATATTTTAATATTCAACATGATGAAAGATCAAAGTGCGCTGAATATCATACTCTGATGACTCCTAAGCATCTGATGACATAAAAAATACTTTTTCCATTTCTCTATAGTGGAAAATGTGTTCAAGTAAAATGTGTTTCAGCTATCAAAGGCCACCTTAACAAATCACACAAAGAACTGAAGAAGATAAATAGTAAGTTCGTACTTGTCTAAGCAGGGTACCAAACGTATTTGATGTAAGGTCGCTAATATATTGGAGTGAATCTAGACCCAAGTCATAAAAATCATTCGATAGCAGTCAGTTTAAAAGAAGAAAATGGACGTTGTGTAAGTTTTTTTATGCAAACAGGGTTTATAATATTTTAATATTCAACATGATGAGAGATCTATGAGCACTGAATATCATACTCTGATGACTCCTAAGTATCTGATGACATAAAAAATACTGTTTCCATTTCTCTATAGTGGAAAATGTGTTCAAGTAAAATGTGTTTCAGCTATCAAAGGCCACCTTAACAAATAAATCACACAAATAACTGAAGAAGATAAATAGTAAGTTCGTACTTGTCTAAGCAGGGTACCAAACGTATTTGATGTAAGGCCGCTAATATATTGAAGTGAATCTAGATCCAAGTCATAAAAATCATTCGATAGCAGTCAGTTCAAAAGAAGAAAATGGACGTTGTGTAAGTTTTTTTATGCAAACAGGGTTTATAATATTTTAATATTCAACATGATGAGAGATCTGCGAGCGCTGAATATCATACTCTGATGACTCCTAAGTATCTGATGACATAAAAATTACTTTTTCCATTTCTCTATAGTGGAAAATGTGTTCAAGTAAAATGTGTTTCAGCTATCAAAGGCCACCTTAACCAATCACACAAATAACTGAAGAAGTTAAATAGTAAGTTCGTACTTGTCTAAGCGGGGTACCAAACGTATTTGATGTAAGGTCGCTAATATATTGGAGTGAATCTAGATCCAAGTCATAAAAATCATTCGATAGCAGTCAGTTTAAAAGAAGAAAATGGACGTTGTGTAAGTTTTTTTATGCAAACAGGGTTTATAATATTTTAATATTCAACATGATGAGAGATCTAAGGGCGCTGAATATCATAATTTGATGACTCCTAAGTATCTGATGACATCAAAAATACTTTTTCCATTTCTCTGTAGTGGAAAATGTGTTTCAGCTATCAAAGGCCACCTTAACGAATCACACAAGTAACTGAAGAAGCTAAAAATTAAGTTGGTATTTATCTGATCAGAGCACCAAACGTATTTGATGTAAAGTCGCTAATATATTGGAGTAAACCTAGATACAAGCCACAAAATCATTCGATAACAGTCAGTTTAAAAGAAGAAAATGGACGTTGTGTAAGTTTTTTTATACAAACAGGGTTTATAATATTTTAATATTCAACATGATGAAAGATCAAAGTGCGCTGAATATCATACTCTGATGACTCCTAAGTATCTGATGACATAAAAAATACTGTTTCCATTTCTCTATAGTGGAAAATGTGTTCAAGTAAAATGTGTTTCAGCTATCAAACGCTACCTTAACAAATCACACAAATAACTGAAGAAGATAAATAGTAAGTTCGTACTTGTCTAAGCAGGGTACCAAACGTATTTGATGTAAGGTCGCTAATATATTGGAGTGAATCTAGACCCAAGTCATAAAAATCATTCGATAGCAGTTAATTTAAAAGAAGACATTGTAAGTTGTGTAAGTTTTTTTATACAAACAGGGTTTATAATATTTTAATATTCAACATGATGAAAGATCAAAGTGCGCTGAATATCATACTCTGATGACTCCTAAGTATCTGATGACATAAAAAATACTTTTTCCATTTCTCTATAGTGGAAAATGTGTTCAAGCGAAATGTGTTTCAGCTATCAAAGGCCACCTTAACAAATCAAACAAATAACTGAAGAAGATAAATAGTAAGTTCGTACTTGTCTAAGCAGGGTACCAAACGTATTTGATGTAAGCCCGCTAATATATTGGAGTGAATCTAGATCCAAGTCATAAAAATCATTCGATAGCAGTCAGTTCAAAAGAAGAAAATGGACGTTGTGTAAGTTTTTTTATGCAAACAGGGTTTATAATATTTTAATATTCAACATGATGAGAGATCTGCGAGCGCTGAATATTATACTCTGATGACTCCTAAGTATCTGATGACATAAAAAATACTTTTTCCATTTCTCTATAGTGGAAAATGTGTTCAAGTAAAATGTGTTTCAGCTATCAAAGGCCACCTTAACAAATCACACAAATAACTGAAGAAGCTAAAGAGTAAGTTGGTACTTATCTAATCAGGGTACCAAACGTATTTGATGTAAAGTCGCTAATATATTGGAGTAAATCTAGATAGATACAAGCCATAAAATCATTCGATAACAGTCAGTTCAAAGAAGAAAATGGACGTTGTGTAAGTTTTTTTATGCAAACAGGGTTTATAATATTTTAATATTCAACATGATGAGAGATCTGCGAGCGCTGAATATCATACTCTGATGACTCCTAAGTATCTGATGACATAAAAAATACTTTTTCCATTTCTCTGTAGTGGAAAATGCGAAATGTGTTTCAGCTATCAAAGGCCACCTTAACGAATCACACAAGTAACTGAAGAAGCTAAAAATTAAGTTGGTATTTATCTGATCAGAGCACCAAACGTATTTGATGTAAAGTCGCTAATATATTGGAGTAAACCTAGATACA